TAAAGAAAATAAACTTTAAACACATAAGAATGTAAGAAAGATAATCCATGCCAAACTCTGTTGTTTATATGTAAACAAGTGTATTTTTTTAAGGGAATTGTTTTATAACTTTAGTCAAATTTTCAAAAGGGTTTGCAAAGCAACAAAATAACTAACTCTTGGACTAGAGAAACATGGCAATCACTACAACTCCTTTTTCCTGCAAATACAACTTATTTGAGCATAGAGCAACAGCATTGCTAACTTTAGATATTTTACTTTATGTACCATTAAATCTGTCTAACTCAGAAGCCCACTTAGCAAAGAATGATAGCACTAACAGGAGTTCTTGGGGCCAACAACAGATTTAACCACTGTGTCCTTTGATCTGGCTTCCAGGAATAAGGAGAGCCAGCAGGAAACTCGGCTGTCTGGCAAAGCCCACTGTAACTATCAGCAGAAATGGAGATGTGATCACTATAAACACCAAGAGCATCTTTAAAAATAATGAGATCGCCTTTAAACTGGGAGAAGAGTTTGAGGAAACCACACCAGGGGGCCATAAAATCAAGGTGAGGCCTTCAACATTCTTTCAGATATATTTCATAAAAATGTTCATTTGGAATCACCCTAAGTAAACAATTAGGCAAACATATCTCAAGTGTGTAGTAGATAAACTTTGGGTTACAACCTAGTTCTGAGGATCTGCAATTTTAAAATGTATACCAATTTCCTGAGAGCGCGTGGAAAATGCCATCTTTGGTGCCTTCCCCAGAGACTCTGATATCTGGGATAGACTCTGGAAAATTGATTTGTAACACTTCTGATTCAGATGCTCAACAGATCACATTCTGAGACTCATTCCCTAGATCATTCTCTCAGAAACAAAACTTCTACCTTCCCATTTTGCAGCAGTACTCACTCATAATATTACAAAGAATAAAATATGCATTAACTGGTATTGGTGAAGTTATGCTAGAGTAACACATTAACTACAAATTCTCAATGACTTAACACAAAGGGTATTTATTTCTAACTCATAGTATACATTCCATGTTTGGGTGGAGAACGAAGAGTCTCTGTGAGGAGCTGCCTGTGTGGGGTGACCAGATACGTAGGGAACCTATCCCTCTTAATTTCTCAGGGGCTCAGGAAGGTTCAGCAACCTTGTATTTGGAACACCTCACATTTGTGGTCACCTCAGTAAATAACATAGGGCCAGAACTCTGGAACTTTTCATTGCTCACCTTGGAAGTGAAATACAATTCATCTATGGGCTCCAACTGGAATATGTAATTTATATAATTTATATTTATTATCTGTCCCTCAAACCAGAATATAAACCTCTCATAGACAGGATTTCTTCTTCATTTTCTTTTATAGAACTCACTAGCTATCATATAATATTAGCTCAACAAATACTTATTGTTTGAAGGAACGGACTCAGTAAAAGATGATTCAACTACCTTTAGTAACCCTGGTTAAAAAGAACCATCATACCACATTAATAAATAGTTGCAAAATAATATGACTTCAAATTCCTGTAAAGTATAAAGTGGAAGAAGAGTTTTAACCTGAAATAGTTATTAAAGATGCCTGGTTAAGTTAAAAAAAAAAACAAAAAACAAAAAATACTCAGGCCCTCCCTGGTGGTACATTAGGTCAAAGCACAGTACTAAGAAGCTAGCCACAGCCACTTCAGCACAAGTTCAATCCCCAGCCAGGGAGGTGACCCACATGGCACAGCAGACCTCTCCTGTCTTGCCTGCTGCTCCCCTCAGCAGTGCACTTATCAGTCAGCCTGTTCTGCTCCCCACTCTGTCTCTGGTGAATCCTCTCACTGCCCCTGTACCTCTGGCCTGTGCCCCAGTTCTGTATGCATAAATAAATAAGTCTTTAAAAAAATAAATTTTAAAAACTCTACTAGAATAAAAGGGGATTGAAAACTCTAGGAGAACCGAAGGAAAATTGGTGGCCCTTGTGATCTCTGCCATAAGAGAGAAGAATAAAGAATTTTGGTAGAAGGCCCAACTCAGTGTAAATGTAAGCTATGAAGAATCTGTGGTGTTCCAATTATTTTAAAACAGGATATTGCAGTGAAGTGGAGTTAATCAGATATCTCTAAACTTTGTGGTGCATAATTTAATGGAGAAAGAGGCAGACTGGTTTTGGATTGCTTGAATGTGAACCCCAACACTGCTATCAACCCTATGTGACCTTGGCAAGTCTCTGAACCTTGCTGGCTGGGTGGATTTTTTTCATTTGCAAAAGAAGATGTTAGTACTTATGTTATAAGGTTGCTGTTACCTGGAGTAATACATGAAAATCTCTTTGAAGAGTGCCTCACACCAAAATGCTGTTCTTGTGATTATCATTATCATTATTTTTATGTTGCTGGGTAAGAAGAGAAAATGGAACTTTCCGTCTTTAAGAACATTCTTACAATGGAAATTTGAATTGAATTTTGTGCCAGACAACATAGTCATATGATAAACTCAAGTTTAATAGCAACATGGTGTAAAGAGTGTTAAAGAACTCAACAACAATAAAACCAAGATTTAACTTATTCTTCAAGATAATGTCATATTTTCACTCTTATAGAATATTTTTTCCCAGAAGAATCAGCCAACAAATTTACTGTTGACAAAGTCATACAATAAATGGAATGGTAAACACCAGACTACAACCACGTGAGAGAGGATTACAACAGTTGAAAAGAATTTGGCACCTGATGAAATTATAGTGTTTAAGCTGACCATTTAAGCTGAATTTGATTTTTTGTTTTGTTGGGTTGCAGAGTGTGGTAACCTTGGATAATGACTCCTTGATTCAGGTCCAGGACTGGAATGGCAAAGAGACCACCATACAGAGAAAGCTAGTGGACGGGAAAATGGTGGTGGTGAGTGAGGTGTACCGCACTGCTTTTTTCACCCCCGATAAAAATCTCTCTATGTAATCACTCAAACAGCTTGTCCTAAAACATGAAGTGAATACATTTCTTTCTTTTTCTCTTGCTTTATAAGAAGGGTCCAAAATATTGGCATTCTAACATAAATACAAAATGTTTATGGACAGAGGAACTAAAAAACTTAAGAGGATTTAAAAATTATGTTCTCTAGCTCTTTGACTTGTGCATAAGCCTTGCAAGCATTTATTTGTGCACTAAAGGTTTCAGCAAGGGATGGGAATTGAGGTTAGTATGTTCTGTGTCAGGGTCAGTTTCTCAAATGTTTTCAGTTCATCACCAAAGAAAAGTTCAAGAAGGAAATTTTAAAGATGCAAAGCTTGAGTAGTGTCACTTGGGTATGGATGAGTTGATGAAAGTAAACACATTTATGTGGCTACCACAAACCTATACTTTCATATATATTTTACCCAATCCTCACAATAATCTTTTGAAGTAAAATTTATCTATATATTTAACGTGAGTACACAGAGATTCAGCTTAAAAAAAATATAGTGATGGGATTTAAATCCAAATTGACCTGATTCCAAAGTCTATACATTTTTGAGTTATACACTTTCTTGAAATAACTTCCCAGGTCATGTTCTTACTTCTGTATAGTGAAGATGATTTGATGTTTCTCCTCTTCCCAAATATACATATATAAACACACATACAAATCTCTCTATACATTAAGAGTACAAGTTCACCAAGATGAAGGAAAATCAAATTGGAATATAATAGAAAACAGTTCAAAGGGAACATACAAAAAGTGTGTAGAGATAAAATGAACTGTCCACATTTCTTAATGTAAGTACTTTTCCCCCAATAACAAAGAGTATATTTCTTTATAAACTAAGACATAGAGGACTAAGGATAACTCATTTTATTTCTTCTTACAATGACCCTAACCACTAAGCAGATAGGCTTTATGTATTTTTTCTTTTCCTAGCCATGGCTAACAACAGGTAGGTAGATGTTTTTAAAACATAAACATTCCAGTGTCTTTCAGTCACACTTAAATAGCTGATTTTCTTCAAACCTCAAACACTTTATCATCTGGTTCCTAGAAATCTCTTCAGTCTTATTCATTAACCCTACCCACATATTCACTGCTGTCCACACACTTGGTTCCCTTCCTAGTCTTTTAATTTTAATTGAGGTATTCTTGGTTTACAAGAACTGTTGTGTGTTAGGAATACAGATTCTTCAAATATATGTTCTCACAACACATCCACCACTGAAGTGCTGATAATCCTCTAACACAGGGCACTGGACCCCTCCTTCCTTCCCTCTTCTCCTCTCCCTCCCATAACTCCAATTCTGCCGTCAGAACCCATTTCTTTGTATCCACACAGTAATTAAATCATCTGTTATTTGTGATTTATTTCCCATAACATAATCCACTCAAGGTTCCTACTTGTGGCAACTAGCACATTTTCATCTTTTTTTTTTTTAATAGATGAGTAGTATATTCCATTAAACAGATTTTATAGTTCACTGGGAAGATTAGGATCATTATTGGATTTTGAATCCAAAGAGGTGGATTTCCATTTCTGAGGTTCAGTACTTATGACTTTACATAAATAAATCATTTACTCTTGTCTTCACATGTGGCTAATTAAAAAAAATATATATGTATAAAAATATTTTATATATTACACACACACATATATATTCAATGTAATTCTATCACATTATATTCACAGAAACACTGCAGTGGTATGTTATTATTTCAGAAATGTAGAATATGTAAAATAGCTAAAAGAAGGGCCTCCCTGGAAGCACAGAGGTTAAGTCTCAGCACTTTGAAGCTGTCAGCAACTGCTTCAGCATAACTTTGATCCCTGATCAGGGAGCTACCTACAAGGTGCTGCAGCCTAACTCCTTTTGGTAAGGAAAGCAACTTATTTCACCTCTCTGTCTCTGGTGAATCCTCTCACTGTCCTCCCATCTCTAGCCTACACCCCAGCTCTTGTATGCATAAATAAGTAAAACAAATCTTTTTAAAATAGCAAAAATGATTCACGACAGGCATTTAAAACATTTAAATAAAGGTGTTGTATTTCAGCAAATATATCTTTTACATATATAAATATACAATATAGAGTATATGATCTGCTCTTAACATAGAGTTATCTATAGTTGTCTGTATAGATTTCTGTTTAAGAAATGTATAAACATGGGGCCCTCCCTGGTAGCACAATGGGTTAAAGCACTGTATTATAAAGCTCTTTGAGGCCACTACAGCACGAGTTTGATCCCCGGCCAGGGAGCTGACCCACATGGCATGGCAGACCTCTCCTGACCCACCTGCTGCTCCCCTCAGCAGTATACTTTGTCAATTTGCCTGTTCTGCTCCCCATTCTTGTCTCTGGTGAATCCTCTCACCTACCACACCTCTGGCCTGTACCCCAGTTCTATAAGCATAAGTAAATAAATATATTTTTAAAAAGTACAAAAGCAGATAATATCTAGTTTTTATTTCCTAAATGTCAGTTTCACTAAAAATCCTGAATCTTCATTTGTCTTCTAGGAAAGTACTGTGAACAGTATTATCAGCACTCGGACATATGAAAGAGTGAACCCAGTCTCAAACTCTTAAGCATTCCCAAACTGTGACTCAAACTGCTGAGCTCATTTAAATAAAACTCATGAATTTTATATGTATTACTTCAATGTCTATAATAAAGTGTTGGAAGCTTCTGCTTATTTCTTGGTGGTAGTGTTGTGACCTTTGCATAAAAGCACAAGTTTTTCAAATGTAGAAATAGCAACTCCCCCATGTAAGATGGAGCAGCCTGATTTGGAGGTCTTTATTTTGTCAGTTATTCATGGAGAATGGAAAGTCCTGTCAACTCCCAACTTGCAAACTCACGGCTGGCTTTGATCAGTGTGGGTCAACAAATTTTGAATCGCGATTCTAACTCTTTTGGTAAGGAAAGCACATTACTTGCTATTCATAAGCCAATCACCAGAGACAAAGTCCAGGGTTAGGATAGTAGGGTTTATTCAGAATAGTGGTAAACTGAGGTGACAAGACTCATGTCTTGAAGAAACCGTTTCAATTTCTGGAAACACTAACTTTTTATAGCAGAGTGCATGATAAAGTTTTTCTTGACTCCTACAAAACTGGTAGTCATTCTGCAGGTGCTGTTCTTGTGGAAGTTTTATGATGATGATATCACTTCACTTCATTTTTCAACAGAGAACCACTTAAAAGGAGTGATGGAATGTTTGCTCAAGGCCATTTTAGGGAAGGTAATACGTTAATCATTGGCAAGATATAGCTATTCTAGAGGTTCTAACAATGGTTTGCTCAGTTAGTTTCTCATTTAATCTTTTGTGCTTTCACTTTCCTCACTTGTTATACTGCCCTTCACTTTTCTTTTCTTTCCCAGAGCATTATCATTTCCTATACAAATATAGAAGTATAGGGAACTGGCACACTGTGACACTGATAGGTATCACCATCGTTTCTCAAACGATGCCCTCTCCCATGTAAGAATTCAGATATTATTGAAATGAGCATGCATTCACACTATATTGAATGTACGGAAGAGATAGAAAGGAATTTTAGAACTTTGTTTTTAGAAATACTGCAGTAACAATGACTGGACTTACCACAGAATGAAACCAGAGACTGGGAAAGAGAGATCAGAGGGCTATAAACCAAGCGATTTACTGGGCTCATACTGAGCAAGGAATAGTTTAAGCCCTGGGAAGCAAGAAAGGTGAGTCATGGTGTTCAACAGGGGCATTCAAAAGAGACCCCAGAGGACTATTTCTTGTCTTGATACTAGGCCTAAGCTATCTGTAGTGGAAAATTGAGGTGACACTCAATTTAAGAAAGCTTAAACACAAAACTTGAAAAGTTTAAACTGATCTGCCAGTAACTTCAATACCTGTAAGAATAAAGACCAATACTCTTTAAAGAAAGACAAAATTCAGCCATTTAAACTGTTATTAAGTCTATTCACTCAATCAAAAATTATTAAAAGTGAAGAAAAAGGGAAGGAAAATGGTGATAACACTGAGACTTAACCCTTAGACCACCACGGAGGTCCTAGAAATGGAAAATGGGATCCATAATTAGGAAAGAAAATCTGTTAAGAAAAGAGACCCAAAATGATAGAGATGGTGGAATTAATCAGGCACCGGTATTGAGATCATCATAAGACACATAAATATGATGACAAGCACAGTATCCAAAATGAACACTTACTGGATAGAATTAGAAGAGATTAGTAAATTTGAAGATATAGCAAGAGTGCATTCAGCTGAAGCACATGGGGAAGACCAGAAAATGATTTATTTCTGTATAGGAAACTCCCTCACCCAAGTTTAGACACCTTCCAAGAGGGAGAGTCAACCCAATACTTGTTTGATACAGGGATACACTAATTCAGGATGGGGCTGCAGCTGTGAGTCTCCAGAAGCCTACATTCCTACACCTGGAAGTGGGGAGGAATAATTTCTCATTCCTGAAGAAATCTATAAGGCAGTACAGTTCAGGCTTTTTTTCTTTTTCCCTTTTTTCCCCTCACCATATTAGAGTGTCCATTGAGAATTACAGAAAAACCTCGATTTATGCAAATACCTACCCTGAAAATCCACTTAAAGTGAAAAACTTCTGTTTGTTTTTATGTTTAATTTCTATACAAAGACCACCTTTAAGTTATTTACAATTTTTTCCCAAGTTTATAAAATGCATTTACATATAACTAATACTGAAGAACAAAGTTTCTTGTTTTGATAAACAATCTTTAAGAGGGCAGGGATTTTGCTACTGTCATTTTTGGTAGGAACAACGATATTATAACCTAAGATCTAAAACAGCACTGGGTATCTCTAGAAGTGCTAAGTAAATGGTAAACAAATCAGTGAGTGAATTGTACTCACACATGAAATAGTATTTCCTATTGCTTTCCTCAAGGTGGTGCTGTGTTCAATATAAAAAGTCACTTAAGCAATGACTTTTCTTTTTAATATAGCCTTGATATCTGATCAATTGCTTTTTATCTTGCTTTTTTAAGTTTCCCATATTACTAACCTCCCCATCTGTTTAGGATTTATGTTCTTTACTAGAAGCAGCTATAACATAGTTGGGGGTATTGCTTTTCTTGCCTTTTCACTCCACTATTTATCTTTGGTATTGTACATTCAGTATTTGAAATTTTAACTATTCTAATTTTTGTACAGTTGTCACTGGTATTTTTGAATCCTCAATATTTTGTGAATGTTGTACGTTTATGTACACCTTTTAATGAATTCTGTATACTTTACATATACTGACAAACTAAACATGAAGACATATTAAAGAAGAAAACATGATTGAAGAAAGTTATGTCCATTATATAGGTAAATATGTGTGTGTGTAAAACTGTAAAAGTTTAGCTATTATTAAGTAGATTGACTCTGAGCCCAGTTAGATACACATATTATCAACTTTGAATATAAGCGGGACTAGAAGTGTTCTAGGAACTTGAGAGACATTGTGAAACCCTTTCTTTACTCCCCTTCTACCTCTGACATTTTCCGTTAGAAGTCCTCAAATGACCCATTTCCTTCTTTTTGGCTTTTCAAAGTTTTTCTGTCTTCGAGTACCCTCCCCTTTTAAGCCAATATTGGCAGCAAGAGCACTACTTTAAACCACTGTCTTATACCACTGCATGAGTTCAAGCCTTGTGCGGTCTTGTGGGGATGGACCATGGATAACTCAGATGACAAGGGGAGTCATCTGTGACTGTGGGTTACTGATGTGACTCCTATTTCACGGTGTCTCTCTCCTCATTGCTCTCAGACAAAACTGTAAAGATGTCATTTCGGGAATAACTGACTGAACTCTGGGGAGCATGAAAGTGCACTGTGTCCATGCTATCTCAGGATACGCTGACTTAGCCCAGGCCTTGTGCCATGGTTCACAGTTGACACAAAATGTACAATCCAAGCACAGATGAGTGCAAATGTCAAACATCTCAATTAGTCATGACCAACACAATTCATATTTGCAAATTACATGAACACAGAGAATACATCCTAATTTATCTTTTTTATCCACTTTCTGCTCATTCCTCCTTCTCAATGCCTGGTTTGTGATATTGTGTGAGTATGAGTGTGTGTAAATGATTTACAAAAAAAGCGAACCATTTAAAATTAGCTGCATAGTATTGTACAGCTATAAGAAGGGAATCAATAATTTGATGTAATTGAGCAAGGAGTACAATGTACATGGGTCACCTTGGTCAAGTTGCTATGTCTCCAACTTAACAGTAAATGGGATGATGATTGCAACCAAACTGCAGGGTTGTTGTGAGGATTAATTGCTTATTATACATAAAAGCCTCAGTAAACTCTCATTCATACCAGGCCCCCAAGACTTGTGAGAAATAGAGTTGCTGGTCAATTCTATTTTGGAGGTGAAATTCCAAAAATATTGTCTGAATGCAATATTGCAAAAAGAATGCAAGCAATAGTTGGACATTCTAGAGTAAATTAGAAATTAGTTTCAAATAGTACTACTACTGGCTAATTTTGAAACTGGAAATATTTTAATGATTTTAGAGAAATACTCCTATTTTGATTCTATAGATTTACAATTGCACTTAGTGTTTAAACTTTATTTCCTAAGAGCAGTCTCCTGCCCATGGACTGTGACTTTATTATTTTCACTTTAATTGTAGCCTTCAGTCCTTTGTAGGGTTACTATAGTTAGGAAGCTTTTGTTCCTCCTGACCTGTTCGTGCAATTAATTTCTTCAATAGAACTGTGTTAATTAGGATAGCCTAGAACTTTTGCTAAAGGACAACTTATCTATTAGTCAGAGTAGCAAAGAGCACATGATCAGAATACTTTTAGAGACCCATTTAAATGTTAATTTCTTATAAAGTCATAAGGAAAAAATGAAATCTTTTTTTCTCATATTCGAAAAAAAAATTAAGGCCCATAAAAATTACTGAATTTTGTTTAAACAGAAAAACATAAGTGCTTAAAATTTTAAAAAGGTAATTTATAATATTGTTATTATTATGGTGAGAGGGACTTCTGAAAGCAAAGGCATAAAGGCAATGTGGCCCTGCATTGACCCTTTGACTTTCAATATGCTTGCTGTTGACTGATGGGTTTATCATCCATACTAAACCTTTGGTTCCAATGTTTTTATTTTTTTTTTCGAATTGTAGAATTTTTTTTAGATGCACAATGATGCCGGATGTAACCTTTTGATTGTTTTCTAGTTATTTGCTATCTCATGGCTCATGGAATATTTCTAATTTGCCTGCTTTCTTAAATCCCTATTTGTTCCCTAATCCCCACCCTTTCCTGCCTTCCTCTCCTCCAGAACATATGCTAGGACACACAAACAATGTCAGGCAAATGGGTCAAGAAAACCTATTATGGGATCAAATAATAATTTTTGCAATTAATGCAAATTTCATTAGTATTCAGTTATTCAAGCAATTACAGAAAAGGATAAAATTAAGTCAATGGTGAATGGCTAGAAATCAGTGATACTTTAGGATGATGTATGAGATACTGTTCACCCTACTACATGTGTTTACCTTGAATAAAGAGGGAGCAACACTTGGAATTGTCTGAGAGACACCA